GAGAGGAAGAGAGAGAGGAAGAGGAGAGAGGGAGGAGAGAAGAGGAGAGGAGAGAGGGGAGAGGAAAGGAGAGAGGGGGGAGAGGAAGAGGAGAGAGGGGAGGGAGGGAAGAGAAGAGGAGAAGAGGGGGGAGGAGAGGAGAGAGGGGAGGAGAGAAGAGGAGAGAGGGGGGGAGAGAAGAGGAGGAGAGGGGGGAGAGGAAGAGGAGAGAGGGAGGGTGAGGGTGAGAGAAGGGAAGAAAGAGGAGAGAGGAGGGTGAGGGGAGAGGAAGGGGAGAGAAAGAGGAGAGAGGGAGGGGGAGGGGGAGAGGAGGGGGAGAGGAAGGGGAGAGGAAAGAGGAGAGAGGGAGGTGAGGGGGAGAGAAGGGGAGAGGAAGGGAGAGGAAGGGGAGAGGAAGGGGAGAGAAAGAGGAGAGAGGGAGGATTGCGGAGAGAGAGAATGCAAGGGCAGAGAGAGAGAATGGGAGTGTTTGCGTATGTTTATGTGCGCGTGTATGTGCGTGTGTATGTGTGTGTATGTTTGTGTGCGTGTGTATGTTTATGTGCTGTGTATGTGTGTATATTAGTGTGCGTGTGTGTGTGTGTGTGTATGTTTGTGTGCGTGTGTATGTGTGCGCATGGTGTGTTGGATGTGTGTGGTGTGTGGATGGGATGTGTGGTGTTGTGTGTGTGTGTGATGGGATGTGTGGTGTGTGGATGGATGTGTGGTGTGTGGATGGATGTGTGGTGTGTGGAATTGTGTGGTGTGTGGATGGGATGTGGGTGTGTGGATGTGGCGTGGTGTGTGTGTGGGGATGTGGTGTTGGATGTGGTGTGGGTGTGGTGTGGATGTGGTGTGTGTGGGTGGATGTGGTATGGTGTCGGTGTGGATGGTGTGGATGTGGTGTGGATGTGGTGTGCGTGTGATGTGGTGTGCGTTGTGGTGTGGCGTGTGGTGTGGATGTGGTGTGCGTGTCTGTGGATTGGTGTGTGGTGTGGATGTGGGTGCGTGTGTGTGGATGTGGTGTGCGTGTGGTGTGGATGTGGTGTGCGTGTGGTGTGGATGTGGTGTGCGTGTGTGTGGATGTGGTGCGGTGTGTGGATGTGTGTGTGCGTTGTGTGGATGTGGTGTGCGTGTGGTTTGGATGTGGTGTGGCGTGTGGTTTGGTGTGGTGTGCGTGTGGTTTGGATGTGGTGTGCGTTGTGGTTTGGATTGTGTGTGCGTGTGGTTTGGATGTTGGTGTGGCGTGTTGTTTGGATGTGTGGTAGTGCGTGTCGGGTGTGGATGTGGTGTGTGTGTGGTGTGGAGGTGTGTTTGGTGTTGTGTGGTGTGGATGTGGTGGTGTGTGTGGTGTGGGATGGAGGTGTGCGTGTGTGTGGATTGTTGCGTCTGTGTGTTGTGTGTGGTGTGGATGTGGCATGTGGAGTGTGGCGTGTGGATGTGGTGTGTGCCGGTGGTGGATGTGATGTGTGTGTGGTGTGGATGTGGTTGTGCGTGTGGTGTGGATGGGTGTGGGTGTGTGTGATGTTGTGTTCGTTGTGGTGTGGATTGTGGTGCGTGTGGTGTGGATGTGGTGTGGTGTGGTGTGTGTGGGTGGTGTGAGTGTGCGTGTGGTGTGGTGTAGGTGTGTGGTGTGCGTGTGTGTTGTGGATGTAGTGTGAATGTGGTGTTTGTTGCTTGGTGTGTGTGTGGTGTTGCATGTGTGTGCCTGTTGGTGTGGATTGTGTGATTGGCGTGTGGTGTGGATGTGGTGATGCGTGTGGTGCTGCGTGTGGTTGGTTGTGATGTGGTTGATGTGGTGTGCGTGTTGGTGTGGATGAGGTGTGGATGTGGTCTGCTGTGGTGTGTGTGTTGTGGATGTGGTGTGCGTGGTGGGATGAGGTGTGGATGTTGTGTGGTGTGCGTGTGTTTGGTGAGTGTGGATGTGGTCTTGTGGTGTCGCGGTGGTGTGGATGTGGTGCGTGGAGTGGATGTGGCGCATGTGGTGTGAGTGTGGTGTGGACATTGGTGTTGAGTTATGGTGGTGTGTTGTGTGTGGTGTGTGTGTGTGGTGGTGGATGTGGTGTGTGGGATGTGTGTGTGGTGTGGTGTGTGATGTGGTGTGTGGTGTGGATTGTGGTGTGTGGTGTGGATGTGGTGTGTGGTGTGGATGTGGTGTGTGGTGTGGATGTGGTGTGTGGTGGTGGATGTGGTGTGTGATGTGGTGTGGGTGTTGGATGGTGTGCGTGGTGTGTGTGGTGTGTGGATGTGGTGTGTGGTGTGGATGTGGTGTGTGGTGTGATGTGGTGTGTGGTGTGATGTGGTGTGTGGTGTGGATGTGGTGTGTGGATGTGTGTGTGTGGTGTGTGTGTGGTGTGGGGTGGTGTGGATGTGGTGTTGTGTGGTGGTGGATGTGGTGTGTGGTGTGGATGTGGTGTGAGTGTGGTGTGGATGTGGTGTGAGTGTGGTGTGGATGTGGTTGGAGTGTGTGTGGAATGGTTTGAGTGTGGTGTGGATGTGTTTGAGTGTGGGTGTGGATGTGGTGTGGATTGGTGGGTGTGGTGTGAGTGTGGTGTGGTGTGAGTGTGGTGTGGTGTGGTGTGAGTGTGGTGTGGATGTGTGTGTGGTGTGGATGTGGTGTGAGTGTGGTGTGATGTGGTGTGAGTGTGGCGTGGATGTGGTGTGGTGATGTGTGGTGGGTGTTGTAGTGTGGTGTGGATGTGGTGTGGCATATGGTGTGTGTGGATGTGGTTGTGCATATGGTGTGTGGGTGTGGTGTGGATGTGGTGTGCATATGGTGTGTGGATGTGGTGTGCATATGGTGTGGTGTGGATGTGGTGTGCATATGGTGTGGTGTGGATGTGGCGTGCATATGGTGTGGTGTAGATGTGGTGTGCATTATGGTGTGTGGATTGGTGTGCATATGGTGTGGTGTGGATGTGGTGTCCATATGGTGTGGTGTGGATGTGGTGCATATGTGTGGTGTGCATGTGGTGTGCATATGGTGTGGTATGGATGTGGTGTGCGTGTGGTATGGATGTGGTGCACGTGTAGTATGGGTGTGGTGTGCGTGTGTTGTGAATGTGTGCATGTTGGTGTTGGTGTGGATGTGTGTGTGTGTGTGTGTGTGGTGTGGTGAGTGTGGTATGCGTGTGTGTGGATGTGGTGCATGTGGTATGGTGTGGATGTGGGGTGCATGTGGTGTGGATGTGGATGTGTTTGATGTGTGTGGGTGTGTTTGTGGATGTGATGTGGATGTGGGGTGTGATTGGATGTGGGGTGTGTTTGATGTGGATGTGGGGTGTGTTTGATGTGGATGTGGAGAGGATGTAGTGTGAGTGTGTGGATGTGGAGAGGATGTAGTGTGAGTGTGTGGATGTGGAGAGGATGTAGTGTGAGTGTGTGGATGGAGAGGATGTAGTGTGAGTGTGTGGTGTGCATGTGGTGTCATGTGGTGTGCATGTGTGGTGTGGTGTGCGTGTGCGTGTGTGCATGTGTGTGCGTCTCTCAGAGTGAATAGCATCATTATCAAGACTAGTTCAACTTTAGTTGACCTCAATACTTAGCAAATTCTAAAGACACATAAAAGAAAGTTTGGAGGTGCCAAATGGCAGTGCAGCATTGGTCACTCCCATCTCATTTAGCAAGTATCTCTGCAGCTTCACTTCTAACCAGTTATCCTTTACTCACCTTCTGCTACATGAGTGTCTCCAGAACTGCTTCACAACTATCACACAAAAATAAATAAACAGTCTCTTTCATAACTACAGCTTATGCAGCAAGTAAGATCACATTTGTTCCTGAGGAAATGTTTAACATGCAATTCATTCACATATCACACTCACTGGAAGTCAAACATCCGTATCACATCCAAGAATGGAGAAGATTGGTCTCCTTTCTTCATTCTAACTGAAGAAATGAAGTAAGTTTGAATAATAGGTTCATCAATACAGGATGCATGAAGTCGTATCTTCTTTAGATCAATTCATTTCAAGATTTAATTTAGTATTACAACAGCTAAACACTTGTACATGATGAGCTCTTTATCCTTGGAGGGTAAGTATACATGATTTGGTGAGTGTGAATCTAGTTTTTCAATTTTGGAAATACATAAATGTCCCCCTACGTGTTTAGTCATCAAAAAGACAGACAATTGCCATTCCGTAAATTTTGGAAAGTTTTTATATTCACAACTACTAGTATTGTTAACATTACAACATGTCAATGGATATAATGTTAATAACAATAGTATTAGAAATAAAACTTTTTTCCTAAAAATTCAGGGAACAACAGATATGCCTAGTACCCAACTCCTTGGTGATTAAGCACTTATGACGCCATCTACGTCTAACCAAAATTGACAAACAAAACTACAATTCAGTGCATGTATCCAGCAATGGGATAATAAAGACATCTTGTATGTCTCATAAATACAAGCCATTACTTAGACTATGGCCAGTATATTCCAACAATCAACTATGAATTATAGGCATGAGTCAGTTCCTAGATTTTGTTTTTTCCTGGAGCTACCTAGGAATTTCTTTGACGTTATCAACAAAGAATTTGGGAATAATGGATATCATTTCTTCCTTAACAGACTATAAATAAACAATTCTTTCAGTAAGAATTTATAGATTTTACCAATGAGACCAATCCTTTTCTCACATTCACAATACACTCGACATAAACATTTCATCTTCATTCACTAATCTTCAAATCATTAAAGGATACTGATTGCTTACATCCTGAAAATGAGCCAACACTACATTTATGACAATTGACCATACATTATACAAAATTAGTACAATCAGTATCTCTTTAAATATTTTGAAATGCTAATAGCAGCCAATGAAGGTGTTAAGTCGTAACTCCTAGTAGTGGACCTAGATTTACACAAATAATTAGAACACTTCTCATTATGAATTTTACCATAAAACTTATGTTACATTAGCCATCCCACATCTGACTACTTTTTAAGATACCCCTACTTAACACCTCCTGTCATGGCACCTCCAAAGCAAAGACAAGGGTTCAACACTCACCAACTGTTGTTGCTGTCGCTGAGGCTGGGATGCTGCAGCAACTGCAGCTGCAACAGCCCCAGATAGACCTTCCGCAAAGTTTGTTGAACTATTTTCACTTTCCCAAGTTGCTAAACCACTCTGAAATAGGTGAAAAACAAATATCATGTAACATATTGATTGTATGTATAGACTTGATATCTTATACTTTAGACCTATTGCCCTGAAGAAGAATCATGTTACTTGATACTGGGGTTTCATGGACATAAACTATTACAATAACTTTCATTAAAAAAAAAAAATAAAAAAAAATTTATACCTACTTAGGTTGCAATAATTACAGAAATTTCTCCAAAATAGCCTAGGGTATAGCTACAATATGTCCTTCAAACAAAAAAACAATGGAGTTATAACTTGTCACTGAGTACATATGCAATAACAGCAATAAAAACTATCATTTGCAACTCTTTAATCTGTGTTTACCAAAATATAAACAAGCTTACTGCAATTCCTTCCATGTTTTATGAAAATTATCCTATCTATCATGGAATATCAAAGGACAAGCTACTTTTAGCGAAATTTCATACAACTACTTGACCACGAGAAAATCTTTGCAAATGGTTTCCTCCCTATCACATTATACGGATGCAAACATTTGACCTTTTTCTCTTCCTCTCCCCCTTTTGGTTATAAAAAAAAAAAAAAAAAAAAAAAAAAAAAAAAAAAAAAAAAAAACTACAATTTCCAAGGATATCTAGAATAACACAAAAATGATAAAGTTTCTACTGGTTGACAACTAATTACTACAGATTTCATAGACAAAAAATTCTCCAAACTTATTTTTCCCCCTTCATTTTTCCTGATTAAAGCATTTTCATATGTTTAAGGCTGTAGAATTTATATGCTACTCTCAGAACACTGTTCAACACTAAAAAAGAATAATTCACTGTCTTAAACAAAATGACAGGCTAACATTGCCTTCATCACAGAACTCCAACCCCTTTTTTCTCACACTATTACTTACATTTTGTAGACCCGAAGGCCCGGGGAAATCACTAGGATTAAAGTCACTCATGGCCACAGGCTCTTCTTTTTCCACAGTCGACTGGAGGAACTCTGGGAACTCATTGGTGTTACCCTCAGACCCCTGGGGGCCATCCCCATCATCCCCTCCCCCGTCGTCATAGCTATTACTTTGAACCGAGGTGTAGTCATCTTGGCCTGTGGTTTCGAAGTTATCTTGTTCGACCTTTATTTGTACCGTTGGGATGTCCGTGCTCACGTCACCACCTTGCTGCTGCTCCGGCTGTTCTCTCGCACTGCCTAAGTCTACGGTGCTTGAGTGCTGGTGCTGGGGATGGCTCTGGCGATCTGGGCTGGTGGGAGTGGGGTCTCCAGGGGGTCTACCTGGGCTGTGTTCTGTTCCTATAGAGGTCGGCCGCCTGTCATCCGCCTTCCGTCTCTTGGCTGGCGGACTGGGTTGTTCAGGCCGTTGCCTCGCACTCTGTTGCACTCCACTTGTACTAACACTATTACTGGAGGCCTTTTTTGGCTCCTCGTCTGGCACCGCCAACCCTTTGATTCTTAGGCATTCAGCCGCTTTTATAAGGGATGAGAGTTCATTCTGTCTCACATTCACTTCACCAATGTACATATAGTCTAGTAAGAACTCTATATCACGGCACTGTATGTCTTTTAAAACCACCACGGGGTTTTTACAAGGAGTACGTTCAAAAATATCACTAAAGTATTCACTACACGTAGACAGAACCAGTTTATGGACGGGGTAGAACTTGCCCTCGCATGCCAACGTCACATCAGTGTACGTCTCCTGCAAATGGGGGGAGGGAGAAAGGGATTAAGGAACTTAAAAGAAATATTCACTAGCTATCATTATAAGGTACTATTCTTTACCAAAAACCCTTTATAAAGATAAAAAAAAAAACATTCTACATAATTATCTGAATCAGGATTGAACTTTCAATTTATATCTATTTCTTTAATTGCATGTTCAGACCAAAAACCTTTAACTCTTCAGAACAAGTCAACTAATTTTTTTTTTCTTTAAAATTATATCTAATAATCACCACCCTTTGGAAACCTTCATTCAAAGAGAAAAACCAATATCACATGAGCAACTCCAAACACACTAATTATAACATGTACCTTATTACGGAGACCACTGATGACATGATAGAAGGTGGTCCTGTGGTTGTTCCACTTCAAAGACAGAAGTTCTCCATCCATTTTGACTGCTGTGAAACAAAGAAAATTAACTAAAATTAATACAGAACTGATATACACATTAGCTAATATGAGAAACTAACTCGTCAAACAATAAAACAGTAAAATTCCATTGTTATGTAACCCTACTACCCCGTATCAGCTAAATTATGCATGTCATGGTAATTTTGATATTACTACATCAACACAGCTTGATTGATTCATGGATTCGCTGATAGATAAAAACATGCCAATTTACATTTTGGCTTTGTTCCTATATATATATACATATATATCTTTTTTTAATATCTTAGGCAAAAATCTCAATATATTCCATATTATGAAAATGACATTGTGAGTTCTCTTTCCCATAACACTTCAGTCAATTGCAAAAACATTTTAGTCGATAGCAAAAGCTTCTGTTCATTCATATACATATACTTTCCAAATTACTAATTTTATGTAATTACTGTCGTCGTCTTATAAAATCCTTTCTCAACACACTAAACAAATTATAAACAGCAATTTTCAAAAATCCATGCTGTCCACAATAACAATAATTATCTGTCAATTGAGGAACTATCTTGCCAATTCCCACAACAGTTTCCACAAACACAAACCAAATCGCTAACTAAGTTGCCAAAGAAACAACCCCATCCTGAAAATTTTCCTTTAAACTCCAACGTAACCAGAGCCTCAGACGCACACGAGACTGTCAAAATGAATTGCGTACGTCCTTGTCTGTGGCCCCCAAGCTCGCACCACCTGCAGGAACCGGGGTGTCTGGCTAACGAGTCCTTAATTGGCCCTGATGAGAGCCAATTGAAATGAGACTTAAGAATCAATTAAAAGGACCAACCCTTACATTCCCAGGTGCTTGATGAGGCCTTCGTTAAGGGTCGTTTAAGGGCGACGAGACACCTGGCATTTCAAGGTCTCCGGGCGGGAACGGGAGCCAATGGCAGAAGAGCTGAAGGAGGAAGGCGAGAACAGGAAGAAAGGAAGAACCGAGAGACAACGCAAGTAGGAAAGGGAGGGTGGGCCGAGGAAGGAGCGAGAGGAGGAAATACGTGGAAGTTGGAGCAAAATAAAGAACGATAATCAGAAATCGGAAGGAGCGTATACACAGACCAGAGAGAGCCTGAAGAGGACCAGAGTGACAAAGCCAAAAGGAAGTCCCCCTCGACTCCAGAACCCGGTACCTCCCACTTCCGCCGCGTCTATATCGAAGCCGAGACGACTATCTCATCCACCTCCTTATCTCCCTCCTTCCTCCCTCTCTCCTCTCTCCTCCTCCTCTTCCTCTCTTCGCCCACCGCCGCGACGCCTTCACACACGAACAGAGAACAGGAGGCAGAGGACGAGAAGAGAGAGAGAGAGAGAAGGAAAACAGGTAGTCCCTTCGAGTGTCGCCCTTCCAGAGAGGGCAAAGGACGCGGAGGGAGGAGGACGACGGAGGGAAAGAGGAGGGAAGGAGGAGGGAGAAGCTATCGAGCCAAAGGAAGCGCCGCCGATCGTCCCCAACAGCTCCTCTGCAAGCCCGGTCAATGACAGGATTCTTTTCGCCTCCCTTTCTCACCGCGCCGAGGGCATTCCTCGCCTAAAACATCACTCGACGGGAAGAGAATTAACTATTTTCCAAGGCTCGACGGTTGTTCGCGTCGGTCTAAGCAAAGAAAGGGACAAACCTGTGTGAAAATCGGGTCAGCACAACAGTCGACGCTCCGCCATTTTCGACTCCGCTTGAGAGTTGTGACGTCATACGCGTCACTAGAGACCGCGGGCCAAAACGGAATTTTCTTCTTGGTGGAAAACAAAAAGGGATTTTTTTTTTTAATAGAGATTATATCATTATGGGTGACTTTGGTTTGAGCTCACGATGAAAGAATATTACGCTACATATTTTCTTTAACCATATATGGTAACTTTTTTTTATAAATAAATCATATTGATATTTTTCCGAAAAGCTGACTGGAAGACCAAGCCAGAATTGCACTTTGTAATGCACGTACACGCGCGCGCACGCAAGCACACACACACACACAAACACACACACACACAAACACACACACACACACACACACACACACACACACACACACACACACACACACACACACACACACACACACACACACACACACACACACACACACACACACGCGCGCGCAGAAATACACAGTACGTACTGTACTTGAATACAAGCTAAATGTTCAAATTAATAACATGCTTTAAAAAAACGCGTAAATTGACAATGGTGTGTGTGTGTGTGTGTGTGTGTGTGTGTGTGTGTGTGTGGTGTGTTGTGTGTGTGTGTGTGTGTGTGTGTGTGTGTGTGTGTGTGTGTCACGCGCGCGCCATCGTTCGTACAGACGTTCCTGACAAAGTATAATGGCATATAAAAAATTGTATGAACGAAACCAATCTAAAATTATTGTTACTAGTGAAACGGCATGAGCATTGGCCAGTAGCTATAGCCAAGCGAATGCAATGGAGATAATTTCATTCTAGTCGTGGATTGAAGTTTGTGAATCATATCGGCCGTTGAAAAGAGGATAATAAAAGATATTATTGACACGCCAATCTAGGCAAAAGTGACTTCTAGGTAGGATCATGCTAATGTTTACAAAATGATGATGAAGATGAAATGACGTTGAAGATGATGATGAAGATGACGATAGTGATGATAATAATAAACATTTTTTGTGCTATTTAGAAGAAATTAACTTAGTAATCAACCAATCTGCTGAATATCACATGAAAAAAATGAGAGATAAGATATTTCACATGAGCACCACCACCTTTTATCTGCAACCCTGTCTGCAAAGTGTTGAGACACCGCGGAAGCCAGTTGCACAAGACTAGTTGCTCTAACAGGAAATTAATTAGGTCCAAGCTAAACATAAACATCTATTAAGTAACAGGAGTGATCGCTTTTTATTTATGCAAATGGTAGCAAGTGACACTCAGTGGTTGTTGAATGCTTACAGATCGAGGTTTTTCCACATAATTTTAGAGAGAGGGGGAGGGAGGAAAGGAGGGGGGGAGTGGGAGGGTAAGAAGATAGGGGGTGGGGGAGGCAGGTGGAGAGGGAGAGAAGAGAGAGAGGAGAGAGAGAGAGAGAGAGAGAGAGAGAGAGAGAGAGAGAAGAGAGAGAGAGAGAGAGAGAGGCGAGAGAGAGAGAGAGAGAGAGAGAAGAGAGAGAGAGAGAGAGAGAGAGAGAGAGAGAGAGAGAGTCAGGGAGAGAGGAGAGAGAGAGGAGAGAGAGAGAGAGAGAGAGAGAGAGAGAGAGAGAGAGAGAGAGAGAGAGAGAGAGAGTAGAGAGAGAGAGAGAGAGAGAGAGAGAGAGAGAGAGAGAGAGAGAGAGAGAGAGAAGAGAGAGAGAGAGAGAGAGAGAGAGAGAGAGTGAGAGAGAGAGAGATTTGTTTCCCTTTACATGCTTTTTCTCTTCATACTGATTTACATGTTTGTAGACAATCGGATTCAATGAGACATTTTATTTTAGCAGTATTCTTATTATCAAAGCTGTTGCTGTCGTCATTATCCATTGTTTAACTATTATCAACTTACTATCATTTTCATCAAATCATTGTTATTAATAATATTATCACTATCATCAATGGTATCAATATTTTCAATGGTCTTATCTTTACTACTTGTATCATCATCATTGTTATCATCATTATCACATTTTATGATCTTTATTATTGGTCTTCTTATTGCAATCGTTAGTGTTAACACCACTATAGGTTGTGGTTTCATAATTATCATTGAAATTGCAATTATCATTATCACTGTTATCATTATTATCATGATAGGCCATATAATGAGCCACATTAAACAATTCGAGAATCATATCACCAGAGGTGTCAGTGCAAGTCAAACCACGGCTATTATTGACACTAGCATCTAATTACTAGTGCAAAAAACAATACCTACTTAATTTCGGTGATTAAATAACCATCACCTTTAATTTTTTTCTCATTTCAGTTCAGAATACGTCAGGAGGGGGCGCCATGAATCCGTAAAAGCCTAATTGGCTGCTTCAGCGCCCAGTTATCTTCAAGACTACGATAAAACACTCTGTGCATTTTTGGAGAAGGTCAAATCTCCCGCTGAGAATCGGACCGCAAACTGGGTTTAGAAATTTGAGCACTATCTTCAGCCTCAAAAATATATAACACAGTAGAGTCATGATTAGATGACCGGGAGAGTCATTCAGCACGGAGTGAAAGCAGAACTGAAGTCAAAGTGGTTGTTGAACAGAACATTTGCTTGATTGCCAAAAGAACCCTCAGGAAGTATACGGTTCTGGATGTCCCATATTCTACGATTCTTAGGACTGTGAAAATTTTTTAAAAGTTGTTTCCTTGAAGGATACAAGTTTCCTAGAAGTTGGTGACCATCCCATATTCTACGATTCTTAGGACTGTGAAAATTTTTTAAAGTTGTTTCCTTGAAAGATACAAGTTACCTAGAAGTTGGCGACCGCTGAATACGTCAAGAAAGTTTGAAATGACTGACATAAGTTTGGACTAGATGAAGAGGGTGAAATAACCGTCACTGTTATGATTTTCCGATGAACACATTTCCATCTCTGGCATATTCAGTTTTCTCTGGGAAAGTGAAAAACTCTTAAACATTGCAGATATACTTTTCATCCAGAGTAAACTGCTGTGTGAGTATTTTAGAATTATTAAAGAATGGAGATTAATTAAAGAATTATTAAAGATTATTAAAGAACGGAGAAACACAAATTCATTTTTTTAATTGATCACGACATCTCACACTTGTCTCATGGCTGGCTCGCAAAGACCAGGAGAAAATGCGAATAAGAGTGATATCCAAACGATAGAGTATACGCCAGCAGACCAAAAAACAAATCCAAGCTGATAGGTAATTTAAGGATGTACGGCCATATCACGGTCTGTACCCCCCCCCCCCACGGGTTTTCGAATGGCTGCATGTTCCGACATGTTAAGGTGCGAAAGATCTTACAAGATTATAATACAATAGTTATAATATATATACATATGTGTATATATATATATATATATATATATATATATATATATATATATATATTTATATGCTATGTACATATATGATATATATATATATATATAATATATATATATATATATATATATATATATATATGTGTGTGTGTGTGTGTGTGTGTGTGTGTGTGTGTGTGTGTGTGTGTGTGTGTGTGTGTGTGTGGTGCGTGCGTGCGTGCGTGCGTGCGTGCGTGCGTGCGTGCGTGCGTGCGTGCGTGCGTGCGTGCGTGCACGTGCGTGTGTGTACTCGTGCATGCGTGTGTGTATATATATATACATATACACACACAGACTCCAGTTAATTCTGCTGTTTCTATCATTAGTTAAACTCTTACACTATTTTTTTTCGCAAATTACATACAGTTATAATAGCTTAAAGGGGTAGGATATTTGCGGCCACCGCGAACCCAGCGAATCGAGGTCAAGCAAACATACGTTATCTTGACATCAAATGACCTAGTATGAAGCGGGAATAATGACATAATGATAAATAGTAATGATGATAATAGGAATCATAGCATAATGGTAATAGTAAAGATAATAATAGAATAATAATAATGATACATAGTAATGATAATAATAGGATATACATAATGATAATAGTACAGAATAATAACATAATGATAAATAGTAATGATATAACAGAATAATAAAATAGGAATAATAACATAATGATACATAGTAATGATAATAATAGGAATAATGGCATAATGATAAATAGTAATGATAATAACAGGAATAATAACAAAATGGTAAATAGTAGAGATAATAATAGGAATGATAACATAATGATAATAATAGGAATAATAACATAATGATAAATAGTATATAATGAATGATAACATAATGATAATAATAGAATAATAACATAATGTAAACAGTAATGATAATAAAAGGAATGATAACAATGATGGAATGGGTAATAATAACATAATGATAACAATAGTAGTAATGATAATGGTAATCAAAGTGATAATGACAATGAAAACAACAATAACAACAGTAATAACACATAAATGATAATAAAAAGAATGGTAATGATGATAGCGATGATGATGATGATGATGATGATGATGAGGGGTGGTGGTGATGATGATGATGAGGGTGGTGGTGGTGGTGTGATGATGATGGTGATAGTAATGATGATGATGATGGTGGTGATGATGAGGAGGATAGCAATAACAATACTACTAGTACCACTACCAATAATAATTAAAATAATAATAATAATAATAATATAATAATAATATAACTATCATATTGATAAATAATACCAAATAATAATATCCCAAAATGATGATACACGGCATCAAATAATGATACACAACATTATAATTTTCTTTTGTTTCGTCCTTCCGTTCGTCAGCCCTTAAGTTAGGCTTTTATTTAGCGCCTGAAAAATCATATTCCATTTCGGTGCGGGATTGAATCTTTTTTTTTTTTACGCAAGATGAACATTAAATACTTGGAATTATATCACATGTGACTGAGGACTTGAATTTTTTTTATTTGAATTCTATTCCTTTTTGTTATTATTGTTGTTTTGTTACTATTGTCATTATTATCGTTCTTATTATTCGAGGCAAATACGTTACAATGTTGTTAGATCGTCAGTTTATGTGCATTTATTATCTATTGTTATTATCATTGTTGTTTTTGTTTCTATTATCATTATTATTATCTTTATTATTCGAGGCAAATTCGCAAAAATGAAGTAGTTATACCGTCAGTT